CGAAGATAAATTCCTTGTGTATGTTTTATACTTGGCCATTAAAGTATTGGTATTGGTAAATCCCATTATTTCTTTCAAAATGTGGGGAGTTTTCTGTATCCCCCCTCCCCCCAATACACACACTTAGCTGAGTTGATCTTGGGACTTTTACCATTCATTGTGTAGCCAATTGCTGTTATTACTGGCATCAGTTCCTATGTAATATTGTGAATTTTCCTCAGATAATTTTTTTAGTAACCTCTCTCTCTAAGACCAGGCTCCAAATGCATACTGCTGGCTTTCTCATTTAGTTCAACTAAGGGCCTGCTATGGAGTATGTTCTTCTATGCATATGACATTATCTCCTCCACTGAAATGAATGGATGGGCCTTTATGGATATATTACCATCCAGGCCCACCTTTGCCTCAAATCCTGCCTTGAAATGTATTTCAAGTGTCCACTGTTGAGTGGTAGAGCACATGCTTTAAGAAGGCCTAAACCCTGATGATGATGATGTAGATGTAGTATATACCAGATCTACTTTGGATGCAGTAAAAACAATTATTCCAATCATGAAGGAAATCTTTTTGCTTCTGCCAATTTGGATTTTTTAATCTGATGTTCTCCAGGTATATTGAGACCATAACTTTCAGAATTTAGACATGTTACTGCTGCCCAGGAGGATAATCACTTGACCAGGGAGAGAATCTGGTTCTAGGTATGTAAGTACAGCCAAGGCAAGGGTTTGATTTTGAGAACACCATATGGGCCCTTTCACAAATGATTGTTGGGGATGCTGCCCATTCATAATGGGAGACATAATCAGTTACAAGGCACTAATGCTCCCTGCCATTGTCTTCTCCCCATATGCTCCTTATTATCCCTTTCCTTTTTTCAAGGATAGTGGGAATACCTCTAGCCAAACTACTGGCTGTAGCCACCCTCATTTTTATGGAAGGGTCTTGGAAATAAACATGCCAGAGGGTAGTTTTTGGTTTATAGCATGCTGACTTTCCATTTTCATTATGTAAAAGTGAATTTTAATATAGAAGTCAGATGAGGCAGAGAAGAGTTCTGTGCAATTCTCTTGCAGAGTACTCTGTGACAAACTTTAGACTGATCACTGTACGAACTTCCACCAAGATGATAGGCCAGATAAATGCCCTGCCCCAAGCACCTGAAGGATTCAAGGACTTTCCTAAAGTGTTCCTGCCTTGCCTCTTGATGATACTTATTGAAACTCTGGTTATTCTGTCCCATACAGAAATGATCTAGAGGTACACAACCCTTTGTCATTTGGCCAGTAGGCACTGTCCACATCTGGAGGGAGAAGTTGGAGAATGTTGGCATAGTTGACATCTCTGGGGGAGATGGGTAGCATATAGATTTAATAAATAAATAAATAAATAGTCATTATCGCTCATAAACACTGCTTCATTTTAGAGCCCAGATAGCCCCCCCTGCCCCAATTTAATGACTAGTTGACAGCTGTATGGTGAAAGGGATGGTAGCTTGAGCACAAATGGAGAATATCTCAGAATGAATCAAAATGAGCACAAAGGAAAGCCCAAATGGAGTACCATTCCGTCACAATGCAAGCAGCAGAGAATGCCTTCTTCTCTGCCTCTATCACTCACCCACAGAACGAGCCAGTGTTGTTCTTCCATACTGCAGTGCTTTCAGGACCAGAGCTTCTACAGTGCCTCGTTTTGTAATTAGTTTTGCATGTTGCTTGCTTTCTCCTGCGGTATCGGTGGATAGGAATGCCTTTGTCTACAGCTGGCATCTCATCAGGAACTTGCTTCATTTAGATTACTCTTTTAATTAACTTCAGAACACAAGCATCAGTTCATTCTCAGCAGCCTGACGATGCAAGGACCTGCCAAATAAATAGACTGCATTTCAATGTCAGAGTGGTTCAAGGTGCACCCCTGTCAGCTCCTGGACAAATAAGTTGCTTAGTAGTCAGATTAGCCTTTGGGCTTGCATTGTGCTTGGTGTGACCTCTTTCCCTTCCCATCCACAAAACAAATGTTTACTTGGCTTTCCAACTGCAGCAGCAGTTCCAAGATGTAGCACCCATGAATTGCTGATTAAAAATAACACACTTGTAACCCAAGAAAGAATGGTTAATAGCAATTTGTTCCTCTGGGTTGTTGCCTGCTTGCTGTGCTTTGATAGGAACCCCAAAATGGGAAAGGGGAACCTTTTATGGTCCATTGCCTAACATGTTGTTATACTAACCTGCTTACACCCAGCTTTTTAGCACGTGGATTCAGAAGATCCATTGGAATCAGGACTGTGCTGGCTTCTCCATATACTAAGGCTACAATCCTATATGTTATTGCCCAGCCATTGAATTGAACTGGGCCAACTTCAGAGCAGACACACATTGGACCTCACATTGCAGTTTTAGTTAATTCAAATCTGCTTCCACAGCACCTCTTGATTTACATATTTAAAAATAAATTGGTGCATGGGTAGTCTTACATGTTCAAGGTGCATGAGCTTTTTGAAGAAAAATACTTAGATTTCATAGACTATAACATAAAGCTAGTATTTTTAATTAGAACTTGAGATAAGCCTAAAATGCCCCTAGTATATGCAGAACTTTTTCTCCTTCACATGGAATAGCTGCAATATATCTTCCTATAGCTAGCTATAGGAACAGGGTTGGGTTGCTTCTATATAGGCAAGTTTATTTATTTATTTATTATTTATTAAACAAATTTATATGGTTGCCCAACTGGTGACTCCAGGCGGCTTACAGAATTAAAACCCATAATACAAAACCAATAAACCCCGCCCCGCCCCGCCCCCCAGCAGCAACACACACACTCAGACTAATCATTTGATCGGCTCTGTATCAGCCTGGGGTCTCCAGACCTGCTGACAAAACCATGTTTTCAGGGCCTTCCAGAGAAGTATCAAGGTGGGGGCCAGTCTTATCTCTGGGGGAATTATATTCCATAGGGAGGGAGTCACCATGGAGAAGGCCCTTTTTCTCGGTCTCACAAGATGTAGCTCCCTCATCTAAAGGACCCACAACATACCCTGCCTCCCTGCTCTGGTGGGCCAGGTAGATGTAACTGGGGAAAGGTGGTCCTTCAGATAACCTGGCCCCAAGCCATGTAGGGCTTTAAAGGTGATGACTGGCACAATTGGAAAGTTTTTGGCATTTTCCTGCTTAAAAATCAAGTAGGTAGATTATCCATCCAATTGATTTTGAAATGGTAAGGAATTATGCTCACCCATCATTTAAGGGAATAGTCAGCAACAATTTCTGGTAACAAGTACTGTCTTGGTTTCATGCAATGTCATGGGCACCTATACAGATATATTTATATTGAGGCCTTGAATAGAGAGTGTTTCCTATGACTATTTCCCCAATCAGACTGGGGACTAATGAGCACAGATACACAGGTTTTTTTATCAATGAGATGGAAGTAGGTTGCAATTGCCGCCTTTGTTTCTTCAATATTTTTCTACTTCCCAGTCTGGCTACTAAGCTTTGAAGTTCGCTGGTGGCTTCCCATTCATGTACTAACCAGATCCTATCAGTACTGATTACCTTCTAAGCTCAGACAAGGTTGACTAGATGCTGTCACCTGCTGAGTTTGTTTATATGTATATGTGTTTATATGCTGAACATATGAATGGACTTTAAAAATGCAGATGAAAGTTTGAAACTCATGTGACACCAAGATCTTGTAAGTTTAATGAAACACTAATGAATCTTGGAGGCCAGCTGGCAATATCTAGTGGTACTGTGCCATTATGGATCTTGCAGGTACCACACTGTTGACCTCTACTTTATTGTGAGTGTCCACCAAGAGGAAACTCTGATGGTTTGTAAAATAAATGATTAGAAATTTATGTCCAACTACCATGAAGCAAAATAGCAATGGGAACCTGGAGATAGATATGCTGGTGCTGAGTCATTAGCATTGCCCCATCATTGGATACTGAAACAACTGTTTCCCATCCCAGCCTTAACTGCCATCTAGTAGCATCTCTTTCCAATGAACTACCTCATCAACTACTCCTCAGGAGAAGCATCAAAGACTAGACTAAGCCAGCAAGAAGATAGGGTTAGAGTTAAGGTTAATCTTCCTGATCATTAACCCATATCTCACTTATACAGATCACATATTCTACATTGATTAATAATCAGAGTAATGATTGTGTAGCAGTACAACTGAACAACTGCAAGGAAACTAACCTATGCCCCAACTTGCTTGCTTGTTTCTCTATTTCAGGTTGAAAAGTTGCAGAGATGGCCAGATAAAAATGAAGATACAGGAAGAAATGATGCTGTTTTTTACTTATAGGTGTGTAATTCACAATGGGTAGGATCTGAAAGAATCTTTCTGCAGATAGAAGGTCACAGGCTTTTTTATCCTGTGAAGGTTTTCCTCTGACCTCTTCCCAGGAGAGGAAGTGAATGTTGTCTATTCTGCCTCTAGTCTCCTGGTCAGAGTTCTGGAGAATTGCAAAAGAAGGGGGCCTGAGGCTCTAGGGAAAGGAGAAGATTCAGTATCATCTCTCCTCTTTTGACATAATGTTGTCAATGGAACTACATTCAGAGGGCCTTACATTGGCAAAATATGAGTTCTTGATCCAGCCCCATAACTTTAACCCGTTTGTATTGTCGAAGGCTTTCACGGCCGGCATACAATGGCTGGTGTGGGTCTTCCGGGCTGTGTGGCCGTGTTCTGGAAGT